CTTCTCCGTTCATCCTGAGGCCGAGTCCCGCATACAGCAACTAGAAGGATGTGCAGCTATGACATACAACTATCCACTGGGGCTTTGGGGGGAAAAAATAAAATAAATAAAAATATTCACTTGGAAAGATCTCAATGAATGCCGATTTGGGATACTAATAGAAGTCACCTGAAGGAATCAGTATTTTTTTTAAAGGAAACAAAGAAATGTAACACAGGTACATGTTTCATGGAGCTTGAACTTCCAACTGCAAATGTTGCCAAAAAAAAAAAGCAATTCCTGAAGAAGATGTCTATGTACTTATATGGAGTAATCTATGAGGTATAGTGTTAAGGAAAAAAAAAATACAGTGCAGTGTACATGGTATGCCAGCTTTTGTGTAAGAAAGAATGGGGAGGGGCTGGCCTCCTGGCTTAGCGGTTAAGTGCGCACGCTCCACTGCTGGTGACCTGGGTTCAGATCCTGGGCGCGCACCGACGCACCACTTCTCTGGCCATGCTTGGGCCGCGTCCCACATACAGCAACTAAAAGGATGTGCAGCTATGACATACAACTATCTACTGGGGCTTTGGGGAGAAATAAATAAATAAATAAAAATTATAAAAAAAAAAGAAAGAATGGGGAAAAGAAGATACATATAGTGCTTGTTTTTGCATAAGAAACAATTGAAGGGTAAATTAGAACCTAATGAAAAGAGTAACTTATAGGAGAAGACTAGCTCAGAGCGTAGAGAGGGAAGGGAGACTTCTTTGAGTATGCCTTTTTTTTAAAGCTCCATTTCAGTATTTTTATATGCAAATATGCATGCCTTTTCTTCCTTTTTTAACAAGAGCTTTATTGAGATATAATTCACATGCCATATATTTCACCTTTTTGAAGTGAGTTTGCCTTTTTATAAACTTTTACTTTTGAACTATGTGTTTCATATATTCAAAGATTGAATTAAATTGGAAAGAAGAAATGCTAAAATTGAGAATAAATTGAAATAAATGAAATTGTGTAAACACAAGAAATATAACCACTCAGACAAAAAATTATTTCAAGTGACATTTGAACATAGTGCTCTGACTGTACATTATTAGTGGGTTATATTCTAAGGACAAAAAAAACTGTAAAGAAGTCTTATACTTCATGCAGTAGTTTTATTGTTAGTATTAATATTGTAATTTGAAACAGTCTCCATATCCATAGGTTCCACATCTGTGGATTCAACCAACTACAGATTGAAAAGCCTACAATGATTGTGTCTGTACTGAACATGTACAGACTTTTTTCTTGTCATTATACCCCAAACAATACAGTATAACAACTATTTATGTGGCATTTACATTGCATTAGGTATTATAAGTAATTTGGAGATGCTTTAAAGTATGCGGGAGAGGGGCCGGCCCTGTGGCTTGGTGGTTAAGTGCACGCGCTGCGATGCTGGTGGCCCGGGTTCGGATCCCGGGTGCGCATCAAGGCACCACTTCTCCGTTCATCCTGAGGCCGAGTCCCACATACAGCAACTAGAAGGATGTGCAGCTACGACACACAACTATCCACTGGGGCTTTGGGG